AAAAAAGTAAAATAACATAAATACCAAGCTCAAAGGAAAATTCGAAACGGAAAATCCCTTATTAAATTTCAAAATGAAATGCTCAAACACATCAAACAAATCGAAAACAAATGTCATATTCCTGACTTGGTACAGGCATTTTCTTGTGTATAAAAGTATAATTAAACCTGGTTTGATAGCTAGCAAAACCTCTCACTTGTATGACAGTAGATGAATCTTTTAACCACATGTTGTATATTTTAAAAAAAAAAAAAAAAAAAACTGATATGGGTTCGTAATGAGATAAATACTCACAACAGACCAAAGAACAAGGAAGTAAACTCCTTCGGTCAATATATATTTGATTTTAAAGACGACGCTGGTTTTATCTTGAAAGGGGGATACACTTTAGTAAAAAAAAATCGAAATGATAATATATATGAAGTTCTTATTGGAAAAACTAGCATTGTAGTGGTTTTTTAAACAATGTATGTATTAGTAAACCCTAGTAAAACTAGTTCATAACTCTAACCTGTAGTCGTATTTATTACTATCCAAAACTAAAACCGTATTGGAGAAATTTCATATAAAATCCAAAATCTATATTGGTAAATAATATAAAGTTATTTTAAGAACCTTTCTGAAGATTAATTTATCAATAGTCTATCCTTTTGTCAGTTAACTATCGGATTCTGTTATAACATATTTTTAACAAAAATGTTTTCTCTTTGCAATTTCTATATAAGAAAAATGGTCTGCTGCCCATGTAAAGTATGATTAGTCGAAAGTCATATATATATATATATATATATATATACGTTTTAACCAATTTGTAACGAAAAATAACTATATATATTAAATTGTGTTTAGCTTAACAAAAAAAAAAAAACGTCATTTAAAGATTTTAAAAACTTAAAGATTAAACACAATACGCACAGATAAACTTGCTGTTTCTGCTAGCTCTTCATTCCAATGTAAATTTATGTCACTCATACTGGAAACAACTCGTTAATGAATCTCTAATTTCAATTTCAAACTGTATCGGCAAAAAGACTATAAACTGAATGTCTTGATGTACTCTTGTTGCAGTCGCAATATTTTCGATACTATAGCAACATCTACTGTTTAATGATTACCAAGAACAAGTCTTTTCTTGGGCATGGAGAATATATCTGGTAAGACCAACAACAAAGGAAGGACGAGTTTAATTGTTTTCAATTGTTTCCTAATTTTGTTTAATGAATAGCTTACACTTAATAATATAATAGTTTTATTTGTTCATTATGTAAACAAACTGTAAACAAAAAGTGTACAATCTTGCCTTGAAAATATGTTATAAATCTCAAACACTTATTTTGATATGTTCCTTATGTCGTAACTACAATACCTTTCCCTTTTTACGAATGTGACTTACCGAATTAGACTATTTACCGGATTTGTAATAACATAAGCAACACGACGGGTGCCACATGTGGAGCAGGATCTGCTTACCCTCCCGGAGCACCTGAGATCACCCCCAGTTTTTGGTGGGGCTCGTGTTGCTTAGTCTTTAGTTTTCTATGTTGTGTCATCTGTACTATTATTTGTCTGTTTGTCTTTTTAATTTTTGGCCATTGCGTTGTCAGTTTGTTTTCGATCTATGAGTTTGATTGTCCCTCTGGTATCTTTCGTCCCTCTTTTTGAACCTGTGGCAAATCATCCATATCAACATTTACAAAACATAACGCTTTTTTCAAATGAATACCCATTTTGATGACAACAAATTAGTATTACTCTGTATGCCGCGGATTAAATCAATTATAGAAAAGGATCTTATCTCAGGAATTGAATAAGTGTATGTGTGTAGACATTTGTGGTTTATATATCATGTTGTGCTTATTATCTTTGATGATTTCTTTCCATCTACTGCACTTGAACCAGGATATCATGCTTATCTGGTATTAAAATAGAGGTAAGAGGTGAACTCGAACAGTTCGATTTATCGAAATTAACGGTTATGGAAAGACCAAGCAAATACAAAAAATCCTACCACAACGCAAAAACTTATTGTTCTTCCAGTTTGTTAGTAGATATTATTCTCAATTATAAACATACAGGCTAACTTTTATTGTATCAGGCTATATAAGGCTCCGACATTAAAAATATGAAACAATTCAATGGAGAAAACTCCCGGCATAATTTATAACAAAACAATTTACGAAAAACAAATATGACAGACATAAACCAACGAAAACCACTGAACTGCAGGCCCCTGACTTGGGACAGGCACATTACAAATGTGGCGCGGTTTAACATATTTGTGAGCGCTCAATCTTCCACCTTAAATTGGACATTGGTCTTACAGCACAACATAAGAACTATGAAATCAGTTGAAAAGGGCTTAACTCATCAGATGGATTCAAAGCAGAAATTTCTAACAAAAACACAGACCGGACGTGGCAGGGTATTTAAACATCCCTAATAACAAAAAAGACATAAAGTACAGATCTTAGTGTATTCGTAGTTACTGACAGCTAGTTCAAAGTTAATAACAACTAATACAAAAAATTATGTATCTTAGACTAAAATACCAACATCCAATGGATTTAGTGTAAAGACGATATTAACAGTCAACGAAAAACATGACCATGTGCAATGTCAAAATGAAGGTATCGACATATTAGTGTACCGTGAAAGTGCATATGTGTATAACAATGATATTTAGTATGGTTTTAATCTACTGAGAACAAATCAATATTTATACCAATAAAAACAATATTAAAAGATCTAATTTCAGTGTTGAATTGGTAACCTTTTAGAATAAGTTTATTTTTTCGAGTTCGTCAACCTGAATTTGTCAACTTCTTTAGTATCGCAGAAAAAAGGTACCGAAGATTTTTACATGTTGTAAATTTCAAGCCAGAGCTCATTCTTTTTGACATCTTTTCCGTATAATTTGTGTTTCCAGTTGTTGTTTTCCTACTATATAATATCACTGGTTACCCCCCTTTTTTACAAAAAAATTAATCTCCAGTATTGCTACTTTGCTTTTGTGAATCTTGTTCTAGAAAAGAAATATTTTCAATACTGACTTGCTTCCAAAATATTCCGAAGCTTGCTTTTCCTTTATTTTTACTCGCACTGTGTATGCCTACATACATATTTTAATGTTCGTACAAATAGTGAAACGGTAACGACCTTTTCGACGATATTTACACTATTACTCGTAGGACATTGTTATGAAATACAACATACGGAATTTAATTGTTATAATAATGTTAAGTGTCGAATGATGATTGAAAAGTATGAATGAATTTTTTTAATAGTCTTTGCAACTTGTAAATTCATCTGAGTTTCCCAAATCTGTGTTTCGTTTCAGCACTCTTTGAAGGCTCCCGAAATTAATGTGTATATATTTTCATTGAAATAATGTCTCACAATGGGTTTATATTTACCCCGTATAAAGTCATCTGAAACACTTTTGAATGCAAAATTGTGAAGACAGTAATCTACATAACGTTTTTTTTTCCTCCAGTACTCGTTTCTAAATGGTCACTCAAAGGTATTCAGGTTGCCTGATTTGCTGCTTGTGAATCATGATTCTTTCGCAAGTATTGTTCCTAGTATGCCCAATGTAGATTTTTCAGTTTGGACAAATTATGCAATATAAAGAGTTTTCTGACTTACATGTCATGTTTGCATTTATATTAAATATTTTGCTGTTTTTAAAGTGTTTTGTATTTGCTAGTTCTAAATAGTTGTTATTGTCTCTACAACAAACTCCACCATGATAAAGAGATGATAACAATTTTGTTTTTTTATCAAATCCAGTTATTTAATTTTGAAAATTTGGAAACGAGCATTGGCGAGATTCTAGGTTATCTAAATTAACTAAATTTACTAATGACAAACGTGAATACAAAGGTAATACTTTTCAACATACATGTATGTAACTTGTTGAATAATTTTGAGATGACGACACATACGTCGAGTTCAAGAATTTACAGGTTCTCAAGCAGTGGCAACATTATGAGAAATATTTTATTCTTCATCTTTTTTACTTACAAGCTATGTCCTTAATATTCCGAAGTTTGTCAGCCAGGTAGTAAAATGAGGCAATAATGTCTGTTTTCATGTGCAAATCAACCTGAAAAAAAGATGGTTATAGAAATTAATTATATTGAAGAATACCTAAGGAATTTCCAATTATTTGAATTCCCAGCAAACACACAACATTTTAAAAACATTTTTTAAATGTCATATGGACGTCTCTCACAAAATATTTCAATAAGATATCATTTAAACATAAAAAAAAATTTTATTTTATTGTTTTTGAAATGTTTTATTTCTAACATTTAAGTAAAATGTTTTTACAACATTAACAAAATATTATTTGCTAATATCTTTTATTCATGTTCTCAAACATTGTTCTAATATATCCCGTAGATATTTTATAATATAAAAAAAATAATATTTTCTTCAATTGGTATTTTATATTTTAACAACATTTAGAGTAAATATTTTCCAAATATCCAAAAAACATTCTGCAAAAAAATGTTTTACAGAAAATATAGTTTTGCTATTTGCATAAAATGTTTTATAACGTAAAATTTAAATGTTTTACATAAAACATCTGAAAAATATCAGCTAATTGTTTTCTATAAAATATTCTGACATACACATTACTAAATAGTCTTACTGATATTTTATTCAACATTTTACGGATATAAAAATAACATTTTATTTAAACTTTATTCAAAACCCCACAAACAACGTTTTGTGGAATTAGCTCGTTTTTTTTTCAGGATAAGATATAGTACTACATTTCATCAATATGATGACAAGCAAGATACTATGGTTGAAATCCTTAATTGATATCTTGAAGATCCTTGAAGTCAGATTTTATTACTTCTTATATTAAAATTCAAAAGAGTCAACATTAAATTAAGCAATAATGTATTAATCAACGATCACCGTTCTTTAATGTTTATTCATTTCGTTCGTGTATATTTTAGAAATTAAGAAATGAAAGCTGAAACTGTACTAAGTTCAATTTTCGTATCGTTTATATGCCTTACGGAAAACCGACCTTTTCCGGAATCGACTTTTGTTTTATCACCGGAAATGATTTTGAAATTTGAATTTCGAAACGAAGACAGGATATCAACAAAGAGAGCCAAGAAAATTGTTTGTTACGCGATATATACTCACTTGGTAAGAATGCTTAATCTGTTAAGATGAAACTTGTGCATTCATTGTGTGTGTTCAATCATAATCGGAACCAAATTACATATGTTTCTGGAGGTGCGGATCAAGGTTTTGAAAAAAAGGGGGCCCCTGCCCAAGGCAAGCAAACGTTTGGAGTGATACTTGTAAATAGTCTATACATTTATCTTATAAGTAGCTCCATAAGGGGTTCGGGCCCCTAAATCCGCCACTGTTCAAGCATCTACCTCCACCAATTATGAATTTGTTCATTGATATAAAAAAATTATAAGGATATGTGGCTTGTGTGTTTGATTGCCAATACACCTTATCGCTATTTGTCCGCCATTACTGGCCATGGACATCACAAAAGTTCCCGTAAAATGTTGACGTTATATTAGAAAATATTTGACACCACAATTGAAAGTAATACACCTTATCGCTATAATTTTTGTCCGCCATTACTGGACATCACACAACTGTCACAAGTTCCCTTAAAATTTTGACATCATCATAAAAAATATCTGATGCCACAATGGAAAAGTGATTGTTGTTTGACGTCAAAAGTTCAAGCAGGATAGATTCTCGGGTCAAGCGGGAATAGCGATAAGGTGTATTATTGTATGACGTATGCTGACGTAAAAAGTTCAAGCGGGACAGATTTCCAAATACTGAAATAGCGATAAGGTGTATGAGACAGCTATCCACCAGAATTTAAATGACTTGGATAAAAGAAATTATAGGTCACTGTACGGCTTTCAAAACTGAGAAAACCAATGCCATATAGTCCACTTTGAAGCCTTGACAAACAAATGTTAAATTTTTCTCAACACAATTGAAACAAAACAACTAACTGCCTACATTAAATACATACATGTATTATGAAAAAGAAATTTGACAGACTTAAACCAACAACAACTATTGCAATAAGCATGACTCAATACCTTGTTTCCGAGGCACACAAACAAGTTACAATAGCACTAATATAAGCACCATTTGAATATGGAGATTTTTTTTTTCTAGTAAAATCAGTGTATGTATGTATTTGCAAAACAGTAAATTATATTTCCCTTAACAGCTTAATGAACATTACAAAGACTATGTAAGACTTCAGCACAAGCAAGATAATATAAACTGTTGCTTAAAATTATATTTATTGCTTCATACACACAATGTACATACAATGTATCTTTTATTTTTTAACAGGAGCTAAAAGAAAAGCCACAAAGGACAAGTTCAATATGCAGGTTTACAATTTGGAAGTGGCACAGGTTCTTTGAAATGTCTACAACCTTTCAGGAGAATTTTTTTTTGAAGTAAGATTTTCATACAGAATTACTGTTATTCCATATTTAATTCAAATATTTAGCATTAACAATGCATTACATTCAAGATTAAGGGCATACAATACAGAAAAGATATCTGGATATTTGAATAAATTATTTTTTTTGTGACAAAATAGAAACAAGTTGTTTATTTAAATCAATCTTTTAGTCCAACAGTGTGCTTTCATAAACATATTTGCTTTCCTTTGAAGTATTTCAAATACATATAAACAACTCATTTAATGTGTTTCTCGGAAGTTAAGTTATATTATAATCATCATTGCGAAAACAATGCGTAACACTTCGATAAGTTATGTGCCTATAGTATACTTCTAGGACTGTATCATATGCCCTTAGATACAAATGACAAGTTATAAACTATGTCACTCTACAGAGTTTAACACTTAAAAAGGACAATAAGATGTTTAATGACATTATGTAGCAGGGCTTTTAAAGGCCCTTACATGATACAATGCATTTAATTAAAACTAAAAAAAACAAGAAAAACAACAGCCTGATTTATACAAAACAATAAAAGAAAAAAAATATGATAGACAACAATCAACGAGTATAATGAAATAAGACTCTGGACTGGACACATATCTAGTCTAAAGTTTTTTATGTGTTTTTTTTTAATAACTAAATGAAGTTCAGCGTGGCATATTGCTCTCTCTTAACACGGTCAGCCATTTATCGTCCCCTTCCGACAGACTATCATCGTTATTTGTTTCAAAACTTTAAATGGGAGTGGATGTATATCCTTCAGGCAAAGTGAATCGTTCTATAATAAAGGAATGTGCAAGAAGTTCATAAATGAATGTAAGATTAATTTTTTTTTTCAGAAGCATGGCACAGCAAGAAAAAGATATAAGACACTACAAGACATTCCAAGTGATTTTGAATAAGACAATTGATTGACATTTTCAATGTATTCTTAAATAAATCAAATAGTTGATGTAAAATGGTGTTTTGTTCTCATCTGTTCAGCCAATTATCAATGATTATTGACTTAAAATGTAACCCTATTAGAAGTGTAGCGTTTTAGTTTAGAAAGAGAAGTTATATTGAAAAATCTGAATTTGGGACAAAAGTTTTAGTCAATGTAACTTGAACTTAAAAATGTGTATAATGTTTGCATAATGTCCAATGGCATATATGTCATGCATGTTCAGGTTGACATATGCATGATGTGTATAAGATAGGTAATAAAAGTTGAGAGTGAAAAACTAAACATTATACCATTGTGGTTGGAAAGTGGGCTTTCTTGCACTGTCTGTCGTCTGTCCACCTATATTTGTCGGATTTTGTCCAACAAATATTTTCATCAAGTGCTGTTTTTCCCAAAACTGCTGATAAAGATGAGTTCATATTTAATGAGCTGCTTGATAGTGATGAACTGTGATGTGTGAACATTTTTGTATCTGGCACCTGTTTCCTGTTTGCTTATACTTTGTATTTCAAAATGTTGAATGTTCTCAAATTTTTCATTACTTTAATTAGTAATGCTGATGAACAGAATGACTTCATATTTGGTAAGTGGCTTGACCATGATGAGTTGTGTCTGCCATTTTGGATGTGTCAAAATTTGTAGATACTTCTTGTTTTTAGATTTTTAGAGACTCTGAATTGTGAATTTCATATGCTTAGCAAAACAACTGATTTATTCTTGTTTGTATATAGAATTAATCACTGTGTATAAATTAATTTAACTAATGATTTGTTATTTAAAAAAGCAGGAAACTCAATCAAAAGTATAGACATTTTTTTATTGATATGATCTAGATATCAACCAAAAACATCTTCTTAAAACATTTTGAAAACATTTTTTAGGCACAGTCTCACTTGCAAGAAAACATCCAAAAAACATTTTTATAACATTATTTGATGTTCATGATATTTTTCAAACGTTCAGAAAATATTTCTAGAAAATATTTTTTAAAAGATTATCAAAATGTTTTATACGCCATTGTTTTTCACATTATCATGATATTTCTTTACAACATTTTAATTATATTATGCAAATATTTTAGAAAATATATTAGAAAACGTTTTAGCGATATATATTCTACCATACATTTAATGTTTTTCTGACGTTTTTTTGTGATATTTTCATGACATTAGACACAACATTTTAAAAACATTTTAAAGATGTTTTTGTGTTTGCTGGGTTAGTCACTAGTTTTGAAAACCATGTAAGTATCGGTACAACTGTGTATAAATATACTGTCTGTTCAATTTTGTTTTTTGGCGATTTTTTATTGGTTTTTTTTTTGGAAAATTATTGTCAAAAGCAGGGGGTTTTGTTGTGACACCCCTGTGAGTGTATGTTGTTAATTGACACATTTATCTACAGGTTCTCCGTAAAAAAAACAATAAAAAACAGACAAGCTTAGGCCGTCAGTAGATCTACACGTACTTGCCGACATATTCTGAATGTAAAATATGTGTTAACACATCTTATTATGAAATAAAGAATAATGAAATCAAAGACATATACTTTTATCAGTCATTTTGGCATTCACTTTGATGTCAACTAGTTGATTACACACACGAATATTGCTGTGGCGACTAACCCAATCCATATGGGGTAACTCGCCACCTCTTGTATTTGCACGTTTTCTGTATTCACCGATATGAAATGGCACACCTGAGGTTTACAATCATATAATGTAGATGTCGAAGACTTCGCTTGATTTGATCACATAGAAGTTATTTTACGTTTTTACGCAAGTAAAACATTTGGTTCTCATTGAAATAATTGATTTCCATTACACCATGACGTCACAAGTCACAAAAAAGGCGGAGCTTTCAGCAAATCATGACCACGGTTGCATGAAGTTTTCTACATTATCTCACCTCACAGCACTAGAATGTTGCATATTTAAATAAATACAAACCATATAATTATATTTATGCAATTTTTTTGTGTTTAATATTATATATTTTGTTGAAAAAATATGATATTGGTGCCATCCCCCTTTTTTGCGGGAATATCTGAGACTGTGATCCATAAGTACGTGAAATTAGATTAAAAATTGTAAGATTTTAATTTCATAGCTTGCCATAAATCTTATTTTTGACATGTGCCTACACTGTTTTTGTGTTTTGACACAATTTTCCAAAACGGAGTATTTAACTTTCAATAATCAATCCGGAACTACACCGTTCCAACATTCTAGGGAGTAAATATGCGGTTTCAAAATATGCTGAAATGTGGTGCATTTTTCTGTCTTACTATTTTTCCAAAGAATAAAATGCACCTACCTGTAAAAGTTTCCACTTCCAATATCTTGACTCAAATGAGCTTGATGACGACTGAGACGCGATGACGTAAATGACGGATGTTGTAACGTTCAGACGTAATCAACTTTATACAAAGAGAGACAACTCAAATATAAATAAATGACAGAGATGTAAAAGGTGGCGAGTTACCCCTTATGGCGAGTTACCTTACCCTCCCCCTAATTTATTACTATTGTCCAAAACTGCATAGTTTCATGTTGTGCCTTAATACAGAAATAAACAGGGTGTGAACTTTTATTAGTTTTATGTCTCTGTGAAGCCAAAAACAGTTAAAGTTATAGTAAAAGGTCGAACCCTTTTGGAGGTATATATTTAACATATATACACATTAATATGTCGTCGTCTCATCAATGGTCATTGCGCTGACGGGAGATACACGCTGTGGTGGCGACGTAACAGTAATATCCCCAATTCTAGACTGCTGGATTTGCTAAGAATTGCTCATTGATTGAGTTTAAACCATACAAACAATTTAAGCATAGTACTACTAATTAAGATAATTTTCATAACAATTATTTTATAGCAAAAATACCAGAAAAATAGTGGGGACACCCGGGGGGTGGGGGGTGGGGGAGGGGGTTACTTCCTATGTTTTTAGTGATACGAGTGTGCCGCAAAACAGGGTCGGTTTTTTCATGCCTTGCTGGTTAGAACAGGGTCCCTTTTTCATGTCCTGCTGCTTAGAACAGGGTCGCTTTTTCATGCCCTGCTGGTGAGAACAGGGTCTTTTTTTAAACAAAGTATTTGTCTAGAACAGGATCGCTTATTTAACTGTTTAAGATACAGTCTAGAACCCGGGTCTAGAACAGCATCTATTTTATACGGATTAGAACAGGATCATTCCCGGTGCATATTTTAACAACTGTCATCTTTAACAGTTTAACAATATGCCAAACTATCGTATTTCTATTTTGTTTTAACGTTAGTATAGACTGTCCCTGCTTGAACTGGTCGGGACCAGCTGCCATGCCGATTCAGATTGTTCCAATCGGATCTACTCTGCCTTTCTGGTTGCACGAAGAATAACGGTTATTGTACTGCGTAGCGAGAATGGCCGAGTAGTTACGATTGAGCGTCTGTCTGTTCCTATATTTTAATAGGATTGCTATATTTAGTTTTAGTTGCTCACCAATGAATCGTTTGTCTGCCTCTTCCATGACTCTATATATTTATGTTTAAGTCCGGGGGTTTAGTGCGATCTTAAACTAAAATAAGAATTCAAATTTCACTTTTTTAAAATCTGACTTCAGTTATAAAAGTTGGGATTTCAAAAAGATTAGAATGGGATTAGTGTTTCAGTGATTTATTTGGTGACAGGGTATATATTTCTGAACTAGTCTAGAACATTATAGGTCTCTGTCTAGAACAAGGTATACATTTTCTGAGCGTGTCTAGAACAGGGTATACATTTTCTGAGCGTGTCTAGAACAGGTTATACATTTTCTGAGCGGGTCTATAGAACAGAGTATGTTTTTCAATGTTTTCTGGTTAGAACAGGGTATGATTTGGCAAGTGCTGTCGGCACAGTTATACCCGAAAGGATAGTCAGTAACCCCCCCGCCCCCTCCCCCCCGGGGGGGGACATAACACTATAAAAATACTTTTCTGTAAACTAACCAGATGAATAAGCCAATGGTAATGTGGAGATAGAACAGTGGAGTTCTGACAAAAACTTGTAGTATTGTATTATAGTTGTATAGGGATATATACCATTGCACTTGAATTTTTGAATTTTCCTCGGAGTTCGGTATTTCTGTTATTTTACTTTTTTGGCATATCAAAAATATAGATATCTCCATTTTTATCAAAATTGGACATATAAAAGACTACACGACGATTTGCTAATCAAATACAGTCGATATATAAAATTTAATTTAACAAAATAAAGGCTGGATTAATGTTCTTCAGTCAGAGTTTGTGTTCCATTAATTTTGATGTAATTTTAGATTTTGGAGGATTTCATTTGACTGGTGATTTATTTTTTATTTAATTTTGTTGTTTTTTGTGTGAGCCACATTGATTTTGGTGTTACATTACTTACTCTTGTGAAGGGAGTGTTAAAATATCACAAGTATAAGAAAACCCTGCCACAAACTTAATGTCGCTGTCCTTCGCCAATTCCGCGAGAGTTCCTTGCAGACCGTTGGATGATCTGTGAATGTTTCGTGAATTTATCTCTTAGGCAATTATATCACACAGGTATAGAATGACTGAATAATAACATGAGCTAACACATAATATCAATTTATTGCAACAAGTTGAGAATTTTTATGGTGCAGCTGTGGGTGCAGCTGTGGGGTGTCCAAATCGATGAGCAAAGCTTTGGAGACTGCAAAAGAATAAGTAAAAAAAATATATCAATCATTATTCAAAAGGATAGGGTATTCCCAATGCTAGGTATAAGATTTACTTAAACTACATATTTTCAACACACAAAAAAACACAACACGTTTGTTAATCTACTTGAATAGTGTTTGTTTATATCTGTTTGAAATATTGGTGTAGAACAAATAAGTTTTTAAATTCTTTCCAAAAATAAACATAAATAACTGATACAATCAATTGATTGAGTTACCTAAACCAGTCCAATGCGACGGTCTCAACGAGCAAACTGATATTTATTTAATGTATTTTATTAAAATTATTCTCTTATTATTCATGAACAGAATTTAATTATTTCTAACGTTTAGTCATTAGTCATGCTAAAATTTCATGCATGAGTTGTTGCAAAATACACGTTTCCTTTTAAACTTTTGAAATACGTAAACTTCAGAATTAAATCTGAAGTCCTCTACTCTGCCTGATATATTGTTGATTCATGTGACATTAATTCTGGATAAATTCAGATTTGGAGAAGGAAGAAAAGAATCTGAATTCAAGGACAGAATACCGATGTGTTTTGTTAAGTTAAAACATCTTCTTTTATTCTCCCTACACAATAACAAGTTGAAGTCAATATAATCCTTTAGTAAATAGTTTTATATACATAAGGGTAAGGCTTTGGCGCCAACAAACATGTCAAACCCCGCCACATTCTGCTTATGTCTGTCCTAAGTCAGGAGCCACTAATTTAGTGGTTGTCGTTTGTTTCTGTATATCATATTTATTTTTCGTTTATTTGTTTTACATATAAACTAGGCCGTTAGTTTACTCGTTTGAATTGTTTAACATTTGTCATTTCGATACCTTTTATAGCTTATCATACGGTATGGGTATTACTTGTTATCGAAGGCTGCATGGTGACATATAGTTGTTAATTTTATGTCGTTCGGTCTCTGTTGGAGAGTTGTCGCATTAGCAATCATACCACATCTTAATTTTATATATAAATAAAGTGCTAAAATAACGTTCAAACAATTGCCATTATGTACAAAATATTTTTCTTTGGAACGAAACTTAAAAAAACAGTCCCTTATATTCTAATTCATTTACGGAGTAAAAGTTTTTTTGGTGAACACTACTTATAGCTGTTCATGCTTTCCAGTTATATCGTTTTTATATACATTAGACCATTGGTTTTCCCGTTTGAATGGTTTTACACTAGTAATTTTTGGGGCCCTTTGTAGCTTGCTGTTTGTTGTGAGCCAATGCTCCGTTTTGAAGGCCGTACCTTGTACTATAATGGTTTACTTTTATAAATTGTTACTTGAATGGAGAATTGTCTCATTGGCACTCATACCACATCTTCCTATATCTATATACAATATCGCAATATAATTAGTACTGCATCGTATTGATTTTACTTAATAGTTTTTAGTTGTTTTTTCCCCCGTTGGAATGAATGACCCGTTTAGTTTGTATGATTACCAAATTTACATTCCAATGAATTTTCTATCACAGTTTAAATACTTCAATACATTTAACAATACCTTTTGCATATAAGTGGACATCCAAACTGAAGAAGATGATCTTGTTGGATGAGTGTGTGGCATTCACTTTCGCATGCTTGTTCACTGGCATCTGAACCCAATTGCCCAACTATTCCATCAACTAAAGTTTTGAGTTCAGCTCCTTGCAATAAACTATCTGAAAAAAAAATATGTTTTCACATTACCCTTCAGTATGATGCATTGCCACTTGTATGTGTACAAATAACGAGATAATGGCAGAAATAAAAAAAAACTCAAGTATAAGTTATAGCTTATAATAAGATAACAACTGTACATTACAATGATTAACACTGAAAAACAGACATTAAAAACAATAAGTAAAGTTAATATTAAAACTTAAAGCCAGCTTCTTCGGTTGTGAAAAATAAAAGCCGTTCACTTGTGGATGTGAAAATTTGTACTTTCACTGCTTTGTTCTGTTGTTGAGTCGATTCGGCAACCATATCATATTTCCTTATTTTCATATAAAAATACTGGTTGGATCTTAACATTAATTCAAACGTATCTTTAGTTTTAATCTTTATTATTATTTTAATTTTTTTTTTAAATAATAATAGATACTGGAATCGAAAGCATTAGACCCTAAACAGAGTCTTTGTTGGTTTTATTGCTTTCCATACAAATATACGTCGTCTGGTCTGCTAAGTATCGAACTTGACCTTTTCCCAAAAACGACTATTTTGCTGAGTGTGAATTCGCATTGCTATACGTCGTGTCTCGGTATTCATACATCCAACATTCATATATTTAGTTATAATTTGTCTTCTGTAAGGCTGGTTCGGTATTGTTTTATGTCTTATCGTTTGGGTTTGAATTCTATTTTTATTTTCTATATGCATGTAAAAATTAAATTAATTAATCAGCTATTTCATTTATATGATTTTTAGTTTAAAGCAACTATTTCCACAGGATTTTTTTGTTTATACACAATTTTGATTTAGAAGAAAAACCGAAAAAAAAAGAAAAACCGACATGGTTAGAAAATACAAATAATTACACCATTACAAACACTATTTCATTTTAATATTCTTGTCAAGATTAGAAAATACATAAAATAGCACAATTACAAACTCAATTCAAATTTTATATTCTAGTTTACGAAATTTAAATTTGATAGAATAAACGTCACAAAAAAAACGTCACTTTTTCCGGCGTTGATACATTCGTGTGACGCAAAATTTATAATTCTATTGTGGTGTCATGGTGTACTGTCGTGAGTTCATGGGAGGTGTCTGTTGTTATTCTGTTGTTATGTACTATTATATTATTTATCATGTATTTCTTTGTCCTGAATGTTCTTGCGTTTATTTGTACTGTATTCCTGTCACGTAATATTGTCATTTTAACGGTATTTTTAACATTGCCATATAAGCGGGAGGTTTGACTAGCCATAAAACAAGGTTCAACCCACCATTTTTTCTTAAAATGTCCTGTACCAAGTCAGAAATATGGCAGTTGTTATCAAATATTCCGTGTCTATGTATGTTGGCGTTTGTTTTTGTTGCAGTTCAATATTTCTGTTGTTCCGTAGTTTCCCTCGGTTTTGGTTCGTGGCCCGGATTTGTTTTCGATTTATGACTATTGAACAGCGGAGCAGCAGTATACTACTGTTGCCTTTATTAGATGCTCTGTGAAAGTTTTATGATTTTTATCTTGAGTGAAGTTCTCAATTCGATTAAATGATTTTTAAAATAAAATTACTTTCAACAAAGGTTGGTTCATTTTCTATTTTCATGCTGTTTGATTTCTGCATAGAACTATTTAATATAAAAAAAGAGAAACACCATTTGTTTAGTGTAAGATTTTTATTTTATTTTCTTGTTTAGTCAGATTGTTTTTCTCTGCATGGCATGCCTTAAAAGACCAAAAACAATCGCAGTGGAAAGGAGGTGCTTATTATATCAGTCGCAACAGTAGCACTCCTTTTTTTCATACTTTATTCTATGTTCTCATATTGCAATTTTGTATCTGTCTGAAGAATTTTCTATATTATATTCAATAAAATCGGACAAAAAATGTACAAAAACTAGTACACTACAAATGCGTATCGTTGAATCATATCCCTGACTAATTGTGAATGCTATTCTATTGGAATGGAATTTGGTTGGAGTCAGGACTAATACACGATACTTCTCAAGATTTTAATAATTGTGGGGGTTAATTCATTAAATAGAAATGAGACACGCTACTTCACAATGCGTTTTGTAATTAACAAAAAACAGTGTTGACCAAACACACATATACGTAAATCGGTGTTTCTATGTTTAAACTCTATTACTTACGTATAACTACATAAAAAATAGGAAAAATACGCGTTTTGTTGGTTAGATATGGAAAAAATTAGGATCATTGTGTCGAAAATGCGTCATGAAACATTATACATAGAATTCAATACATTTTGTTCGATTTACTAGTGATATAATGTTTTTGTAAAACTGTCCGAGTCGTGATTTCAAAAAAACAAAAGGTGAATAGATATGCAACATATAAATCACTCGGACCATTCAGATTTCGTTCTGGGATTTATTTGTAGAACGTATATGAATTTAAGCATTAATTTCAATTTAATATGACGTCTGATTGATGTACTATATAACGATTGACGGTTATAAAGAAATAACTTACCAAGAAGTAATCTCCTTTCTGGCATAGAAAATACCATAGGTAAAATTACTAAGAGGGCAAATGCTATCTTCATAGTGACTGTTGAAGTAAGATGAATGATAATGCATTAAAAAACAAACATGCACTTTTCAGTATGGTAACTCCACCAAATCTAGTTAAAGACAATAGGTCATGCGCGGTCGGTTTTAATAATTAAAAGCATTTTTATGATATGTTCATATTAATAAAGTTTGATAAGCAGTTTGTCTGAAAATGTATAATATATAAGTCTATCCTTTTTTGTCATGGTGTTTTCTGCCTCTCTACGAATTATTGTTTTTGATTTCTCCTTTTGTTTTATATAAAATTTTAATCAGTGTCATATTTATTGAGCTTATAAGTATTTCAAGACATATTTTGTTTAAATACCATAACGCCGAACAAACATCATTTAAAAAAAAATGTGACGTTTTATAATTGACATAAACGATGAAATAAATTTAAGAGAAATTGTCTACTTCAATACTTTAATGCAAGTTGTTCTATCTTTTCGTCCATTTTTTTTTTACTTATAACTGATGCACGAAATACAGTTCCATAGTTGTTTGATATTTTGTATCAAATATGAAGAATATTTACCTTTTTCAGTAAGTAATTGTGAAGTACACTTCTAGTTGATCATTTACCCTTATATAAACCACCAGGCTGGTGTTATCTATGCTAATTGTTTACCTTAAGACATGTCCAGTACAGGTTCAAATGGTTTAAATTTATTTTTGGCCCAGTTGACCATTTATCGTGACCATTTTCAGATTGGATAACAGGATATCAATACTTCATGCCTTTCTCGGTGGTTATCATTACATAGCTTCTTTTGATTTCGGTAACCCTTCCACTTGTTTTGACAACTTGAAGTCACAAACGTCATTATTCAAAAGACTGAAAAATTTAAAAGAAAACAAATACAGTTTGGTTTAGCTATTTGCAGAAAGAGTGTTTCTATTATAATTCAATCAAAGATCAGTTAATGCAGCGTTTAAATCTTTAACAACTTAACCATTTCGTTTGATAACATCAATATAAGTTGAGTAATGAATCTTAAAGTACAGGAACATGTACATGCACATATTTATGTACCAAATGAATTCTTTGTGAATCCATCTGTTGTATTTGACAGTTTTTCTACTCTTCTAGCATATGCCAACCTAAATTTCAAACTCCCTTCAAACGTTTTATGGGTAAGATCATAACGTTTATACAATTGAGTTATATCATTCGTCTAAGCATAATTCTGTTTTTCATTCCTCGTTCATGATGTCATAAAATTTGACTTATAATCAAACATATCTTGGTACAGGATTTTGCACTTGGTATCAGCAAAACGACAGATGTCGCTATTAAAACAGGAACCACAAACCCTTCCTAATTAACCTAAGTTCATCTCCGTTTTTTACTTGTGTTTGTATAGTTAATCTTTTTCTGTATATATTTCGTTGACTATTGCCTTTGTTTCTCGTATGTTTTGTCATTGCTTGCTAATGTTGTTGTATGTCTTTCTTCTTCTTATAACTAATATGAGGCAGATCCCACCTAGTGACCTTTTTGGTCACAGATTTTATCTATATATATTGTCTTTATATAATACTAATTCATGAAATAAAAATCTAGAATTCAGAAGCAAGCAAAATTACTTTTAAAAATCTGCCTTCTGGAATACAATTGATGTTTTTACTTGGTCAAAGCAGTGACACGTTCTGCAACAAACATATAAATATAAAAAAAAGTTCTGGACAATAATAAATAACAAGAAATTATCTTGTATTGGATACAATGTGAACAAGAAATGATTGTAACAGGATGCTGTTACGAAGTCTCCCAAACGAAGCTCCCGTAATTCGTAATTCCCAGGGTCGCCTGACATTGGGCAAATTCCAGTGAAAATTGGTTTGGTCCAGTAAAGTTATATGCATTAGTGATGCCTGAGGACTAACCCTGCATATCATTCAAATCATCTTCGCATGACAACTAGAATATATATGGTTTAGGGGTAGAGATCTCGACCATTTACAAGATACTAGAACATTGGGGGTGGGGGAACCCCTGGGGACTGACCCTATACGTCACTCAAATGTTTGAGATACGACGGACAGGAATATATATGGTTTAGGGGTGGGGATCTCGACCATTTACAAGATATTAGAACTTTATCAAATGGCAGGGGGTCGGGATGACCCCTGGTGACAAATCCTGTATATCATTCAAATCATCTTCGCATGACAAACCAGAATATATATGGTTTAGGGGTGGGGATCTCGACCATTTGCAAGATACTAGAACATTGGGGGTAGGGGGAACCCCTGGGGACTGACAATATACGTCATTCAAATGTTCGAGACATGACGAACAGGAATACATATGGTTAAGGGGTGGGATCTCGACCATTTACAAGATATTAGAACTTTCTCAAATGGCAGGCGGTCGGGATGACCCCTGGGGACTAACCTGTATATAATTCAAACTTTCTTCGCATGACAAACAAGAATGTATATGGTTTAGGGGTGGGGATCTCGACCATTTACAAGATACTAGAACATTCGGAGTGGGGGGGACCCCTGGGGACTGACCCTATACGTCATTCAAATGTTCGAGACATGACGAACAGGAATATATATGGTTTAGGGATGTGGATCTCGACCATTTACAAGATATTAGAACTTTATCAAATAGCAGGGGGTCGAAATGAACCCTGGGAACTAACCCTGTACATCATTCAAACCATCTTTGAATGACAAACCAGCATATATATGGTTTAAGGTGCAGATCTCGACCATTTACAAGATACTAGAAAATAGGGGTGGGGGAACCCCTGGCGACTGACCCTATACGTCATTCAAATGTTCGAGACATGACGAACAGGAATGCATTTGGTTTCGGGGTGGGGATCTCGACCATTTACAAGATATTAGAACTTTCTCAAATGGTAGGGGGTCGGGATGACCCCTGGGGACTCACCCTGGATATCATTCAAACCATCTTTGCATGACAAACCAGAATATATATGGTTTAGGGGTGGGGATCTCGACCATTTACAAGATACTAGAACATTCGGGGTGGGGGACCCCTGATGACTGACCCTATACGTCATTCAAATGTTCGAGACATGACGAACAGGAATATATATGGTTTAGGGATGTGGATCTCGACCATTTACAAGATATTAGAACTTCATCAAAGGGCAGGGGGTCGAAATGAACCCTGGGAACTAACCCTGTACATCATTCAAACCATCTTTGAATGACAAACCAGCATATATATGGTTTAAGGTGCAGATCTCGACCATTTACAAGATACTAGAAAATAGGGGTGGGGGAACCCCTGGGGACTGACCCTATACGTCATTCAAATGTTCAAGACATGACGAACAGGAATGCATATGGTTTAGGGGTGGGGATCTCGACCATTTACAAGATATAAGAACTTTCTCAAATGGTAGGGGGTCGGGATGACCCCTGGGGACTCACCCTGGATATCATTCAAACCATCTTTGCATGACAAACCAGAATATATATGGTCTAGGGGTGGGGATCTTGACCACTTACAAGGTATTAGAACTTTCTTAAATAGCAGGTGGTGGGGTTACCCCTGGGGACTAACCCTGTATTTCATTTGATGTGCTTTATCATGACAAACCAGAATATATATGGCTTAGGGGTGGGGATCTCAACCATTTACAAGATATTAGAACTTTCTCAAATGGCAGGGGGTCGGGTTGACCCCTGGGGACTAACCCTGTGTATCATTCAAACCATCTAAGCATGACAAACCAGCATATATATGGTTTAGGGGTGGGAATCTTGACCACTTACAAGATATTAGAACTTTCTTAAATGGCAGGGGGTAGGGGTGACCCCTGGGACTAACCCTGTATTTCATTTGATGTGCTTTATCATGACTAACCAGAATCTATATGGTTTAGGGGTAGGGATCTCGACCATTTACAAGATATTAGAACTTTCTCAAATGGCAGGGGGTCAGGATGACCCCTGGTGACTAACCCTGTATATCATTCAAACCATCTTAGCAAGACAAACCAGAATATATATAGTTTAGGGGTGGGGATTTTGACCACTTACAAGGTATTAGAACAAACGGTTTTCAATTTATAATAATTTTAAAATTTTAAAAGATAAAATCCCATAGAAGAAGAAGAAGAAGAAGAAGAAGAAGGAGAAGAAGAAGAAGAATAAGAACTGAGCAAAACCAATAAGTCTTTATAGAAGTTTGGGAGACTAAATTACTTAGGTATTTTTAATGGTGGAGCATTACAATCAATGAATAAAACGTTAGCTTCTGATAATGTATTCGGTATCACACACAATAAAAGGCTATTTTGCTCGTCGGAGAATACGTTTGAGCCGAAACGAAAGATAATAGAGTCAACTTTGACGGGAAGGACTGAAAGGGAAGCCAATATTCCTTGTCTTCAATTCGTGTATATTAGACATGGTAACAGGAAGTGACTATGCGAGTAGCATTAAGCTGGCTATTTTCAAGTATATCAATCATATTCTGATTTCAGTAGTCAAATACGACGTCCGCCTATTTTAGAACAAAGAACAGCAATAAAAGCTTGTTCCTCTGCTTTTTGAATTTTTTGCTGTGCATGTACTGATTATGTGTCATGGATGGATACCCCATATCCTTTGTTTTTCTATTATCAAAACAAAATGATGTATAAATTTAATCAAAAGTAAACCAAGTCAATGTTCCCTTTCCTCGTAACATTTATTCTGTTTCAAGATTTAGTGAAAATATATTCAATACGGTCATTCAATTTCTGTTGTTGGTAAAAATAACATTTAAGTGTTTGTGTTTGTCCTCTATTGATAAGGTTTATTTTATGGAGGGTTTTTTGGGGGGTTGGGGGTTGGGGGTTGGGGGGGGCAATTTTCAAGCTTTCGGTCTTTTGAGCTTTTGATTTCACATGTCATTTCTTTAAGGTATTATTTGAAAATGTAGCTCCTTCTTTTTTTTTCTTTTTTTTCTGTCAAAAAAATATGTACTGTGTATGATGAAATTTACAAAAAAAAAAAAAAGCGGAAAGAAGTTTCATCGCCGATATGCTGTGGGTTTTTCAGTGCAATAGTTTGTTTAGGTTAACAGTAAATTTGTTAAATCAGGGATTTGAAAAAAAATTAGTGATTTTATTAAATCACTAGCAGTTTCAGTGATTTTGTAAATTTCCTGAAACTGTTAGGAATCTTATATAAGATCTTTATAAATATTGCCAGGGATTTTGTAAAACTTTTAACTATAAATTTGAACTTAATATCAAAAATGTATTTGCCTTAATACAGAAAGACCATTGATTCTTCAAAGGTATTTATTTGATTTAGATTTTACCGATTACAACGGTTTCACAATGACTATGAATAATATATCGAGACAACACCGCCTGCACTGTGTCCAGCGCTCTGGACCACTCGGCCACCTAGACTGAACTAAAACAATTCAGCTTTCGATGGCTTAGTGTTACCTTTCCTCGTCAGTAGAATCTAGAGTTGTAACACAGTACATGATACATTAGGCATGAAGATGGAATTGATTGCAGATTAGCTAAATTATCTATCATAAAGGATCGTGCGATGCAGTCACAGATATAATTATATGATAAGTACGTCTTAACATCAGCACAACAATGTTAAATCTGCAAATTTGCGAAAGCAAATTTTTGTTCTTCCCTCTCCGGGATTCGAACTCATGCTATTAAGATATCGAGACAATACAGCCTGCACTGTGTCCAGTTCTCTAGACCACGCGGCCACCTAGACTGAATTAAAAAAATCATACTCTACTGGCGAGGAAAGGTAACACTAGGCCACCGAACGCTGATTTTTTAGTTCAGTCTAGGTGGCAGAGTGGTCTCAGAGTTTCACTGCATAAATCATTGTAATGCATGTGTCATAAGTCAGAAACATAGAAAAAAATAAGATGATTTGATTTCGATGCACAATGCAGTCCAAGCGCACGCTAATATTTTCCTTTTCGGTGTTTTTATTCCCAATGCAGTGTAGAAGATCACGATTTTGCGCAACGCTAAACTAAAAGTATCAACAGGATGTTGGACAATAAGTGTTCTTTGCATATGTAGTTTGAATATGCATATTCAGGACGAGAAAATGAATATGAACCCGACTTTGTACTAAACCTTCACGCTGGTACAAATTTTTAACATGCTAGTTCACAAAGTCCACAGGATGACATGACACTCTACCCGGACACATAATTCTGACTCCGGACCATAAATTTTGCTGTAACTTACTACTATACCATATATCGCGTGCTTAGCAGAGATGCAGCCAATCTTTGATTTGAACCAGCCGAGTATCGAACCCAGGACCTCCCGCACCCGAGGCGAGCAAGCTACTACAGAACCACAGAGGCGGTTATAAATATTGAAGATACGCATACATGTACATGTGTGTCCCCTGACATTATCACATTTCCATGTTCAGAAAACGACTTAATTTAGGTAAAATCCTTATTTTGTATATGTAATTCTAAAAGTTTTAAGATTAGAACGGGACGGATGAACGGACGGACAAACAGACAAGAAATATATAATAACCCCTTGCTATCATAAAAGGGAAAAAAAGGGACTTTCAAACTCGAAAGTCGAAAAAAAACTGACAACACCATGGTTAAAAAAAATAAAAGACAAACAGACAAACAACAGTACACAAAACACAACATAAAAAATCCAAAGACTGAGCAACACGAACCCCAACAAAAACTGTGGGTGATCTCAGATGCATCGGAAGGGTAAGCAGATCCTGCTCCACATAAGTTTGTAATAAAATAAAAGAATCCTTCTCAACAAAACTACAATAAAAAATTCCATACATGTTTATGTCCGTTTTTTAGACGCTTTTGTTTAAGCTGCTTTTCAAACATTTCACAAAAACAATTTGTGAGCAATGACGTTGAATTATACCCATGCATCTTTAAAAAAAGAAGGGGAAAAAACACTGATTTAGTGAAGTGTAATCATGTTTTTCTTGAAAATGCATTTCAATAAAGGATGCTTCTATAATTGAAACTTTATGTAAGAACTAATCTGCTCTTTAAATTTGGTTTATATCAAGTTCAATGTCCTGATCATTGATAAAGTATTTTGAGTTATAAAAATATCCCCCTCATCATCATCAATATTAGCTACTGGATTGACTCAGATTAATTAAACTGGTTCCTTGAAAGTCATTTTAATTTTAACCCATTTATTTATGTAAACAATAAACAAAACAACGATATAAAGATCGACGCTTTCACACTTTGACGATTTTTTAATCGTTTGTTTTGTTTTGTTTTTTTTTGTTTTTTTTTTCTGCCAATTGTTGAAGATGCACATATACCTAGGAGAGCGACGCATGCTTTTAAGAGCCTCTAGTATATAAATATACTAACTCAAATAAACTTTAGAAGTAAAATTAATTCATTACGATTGATCATTTTAGTCTACGAACTTCAATATCATTTTGTAAAAATTCTAAAGTTCATATATTGCTTGATTTACTCCGTATAAAAGTGTATATAGGTTCACTTCTTCTTTCTTCAAATAGTATATCTTAGATAAGGAAAATATAAACAAATGGTTTAAAATATGCAAGATCATTGGCATAAAAAAATAACCGAAGTGGTTACGACAACAAGAATATTAAAAAATTAAAACAAAAATAGCATGTTAAAGACGACTGCAACTAAACGGATATTTATACATATAAACAACACTAGAGACTCAACTTAGAGCAAAAAGAACATTCACGAAACCAAATATTAGATATTAAACATGTTCTTTATATTTCGTTTGTTAAAAAACGGATGTTCAACGTAAATAATAATTTTGAGTAAGCTTGATTCTTGATTGTGAACAGTTGCTGAAAATGACATCATCAAGATGGTTGATAAATACATTTGTTATAAGCATTCTATTTTTTATGTTATGTGAACTTGTTTTTCAATGGACCGTCGATACTCCTATGGAAAATGTCTGTATTTCTCTCCTTGCTGACTTGTTTTGTTAATTGTATGTAAAAGATTTTATACAAGTGCAGCATTCCCAAAGGCATTAAAGAGGCTGGCGTTAGGCGTTTATTTCACTAATTGCATGAAGTGGATCCAAGCAATTATAGTCAACCGTAAGGCCTTCAACAATGAGAAAATCCCATACCGTATAGTCGGTTATAAAAGGCCCGAACATGAAAAATGTGAAACAATTCAATTGAGAAAACTAACGGTCTAATTTATAACAAAACAATTTAGGGAAAACAAATATGAAAGACATGAACCAACGGATTTAGTGTAAAGACGTCATTAACAGCTAGAGAAAAACATGACCTCGTACAATGCCAAAATATAGGAATCGACAGATTGTAGTACCATGGAAGGGTATATGTGTATAACAATACTATTTAGTATGGTTTTAATCTACAAATAACAAAATCAATATACAAATAAAAACAATATTCAAAGTTCTAATTACAGTGTTGAATTAGTAACCTTTTAGAATAAGTTTATTCAAAAGGTTGATAAGTTTACCTGGATCGTATATAGATTCACACAGTCAATTAAGATTGAAGTACACCTGCCACGTGCAGGGTTCGAACTCACAACTACATCGTTGACAGACTAATGTTACATGCAGTAATTGAACTACTAAGATCACTCGGCCAACGAGGCCCCCAACTAGACAGTGAAGGTTGGGTTAGAACTTAGTTTTACGACATGTATATTATTTTTGTTCATTGAGGAATCCTTTTTTATGAATCAACACTCTAGGATCACTTTCATACGAAGCATGTTTCTCCCAATTGATACAATTTTCTAAAAACTCAAAATTTATAAACGTATATTGTATCTTTGTTCGGAGCACATAACTATTTCTGTAAAATTTCCCCAGTTACGATCAACAGATTTGTTTCTCAGTAAGATTTACTTACAATTATAACAATAAAATTAATATCTGATATAAATTGAAATAAATAAAATAAAGGCTTGGATGAATGCTTTTCAGTAAGAGTTTGTGTTTCACTAGTCTTTATATTATTTGGCAGATTTTATTTTTTCTGATGATTTATTTTCATTATGATTGATTGTTTTTTGTGTAGGTATAGAACCACTAATTCAGGCCCGGTCGGAAAGAACATACAAGAAAGTAGTACATATTTTAAACAAAATAGTTCCTACGCATAGCTGTATCTTTGTCAATAGTGGGAATATTTGGGTAGTTTTAGTATCAAATGAAAGATTTGGGACTTGGGATCACTGTAGAACCCTAATTGAAAGTTTTATTTGAATAATAAAGAAGTATATGAAATTTTGACAGGAGGGCTCATTTGGCCTGTTGTTCAGATCAGAAGTTCCTGTTTCTGTACTATCAAACTTCCGGGAACCAGTACGCTCTAATATGCAATTAAAGGTATGTTGATTTTTTCAGCACAAGTCAGCATAAGGTACAGTTTTGACATGAAATAACTGCCACTTAATTTGAACTTAAGACAAAGTAGCCATTTATGCTTGAAATTGCAGAATTTAACATAGAAATCAATGGGGCTATGAATTAGTGGTTTTATACCTGTATGCAGCATTGACTTGGTGTAACATCATACTCTCTTATGGAGAGGATTATAAGCTATCACACGTATGAGAAAAACCCTGCCACATACTTAATGTCTCTGTCCTTCTTCAGTGCTGTGACTCCGGTAATAGCTGTCCATGTAGACCGTTGAATAATCTGTGAATGTTTTGTTTTCGAGTATCTATCCTTTTTTTCAGTTATATCACATGCGTATAGAATGACTGAATAATAACATGAGCTAAAACTGAATAACAATTTATTGCAAAAAAGTTGATAATTTTTTATGGTGCTGCTGTGACGTGTCCAAATCGATGAGCTAAGCTCTGGAGACTACAAAAGAATAAGTCAAGTATATTATCTCAAAAAAATCATTATTTCAAGTGGAAAGAGCATTTCCAATGATAGGTATGAGATTTACTTAAACTACATATTTCCCCCCTCAAAACCAACACCTTTGTTAAACTATTTGAACTCTGTTTGTTTATATCAGTCTGAAATATTGGTGTAGAACAAATAAAATTTTAAAGTTCTTTACAAGATAAACAAAACAGTGATACAGGTAATTGCTCGAGTTACCTATGTCAGTCGAATGCGACGGTCTCAACGCTTAAACTGATCTTTATTCAATACATTTTACCACGATCAGCTAACTTTTTTCAAATAGAAAATCGCGAAGGAAAAATAAAAACATAAAATGTATGAGAGAACTGTACTCTTCATTAACAGAATTTAATTATTTTCAACATTTAATCACAAAAATGATTATGGTTTTAAAAAATCAATACAAAATATTGCAAATTCGTAGTCAATAAGGAAAAGTATGAGTCATGCTGAAATTTTATGTCTAAGTTTGATTTAGAATACAAGTTTCTTTTAAAATTTAAAACTTTTAAAAAACGTTAATTTCAGACTTATATTTATATTCCTCTACTCTACTTCAGATATTGTTGATTTCAAGTGACATAAAGTCTTGATATATTCAGATTTGGAGAAGAAAGAAAAGAATCTGAATACAAGTACAGAATACCGATGTGTTTTGTCGCAAAAAAAATGTTAAACCTCGCCACATTCTGTATGTGCCTTACCATGCGGTATGGGTTTTGCTCATTGTTGAAGGCCTTACGGTGACCTATAGTTGTTAATTTCTATGTCGTTTGGTCACTGGTAGACAGTTGTCTCATTGACAATCATTCCACATCTTCTTATCTTTATATATGAATAAAGTGTAGAAATAATGTTCAAACAATCGCCATTATGAACAAAATATTTCTCTTTGCAAAAACAAAATTACACAGTCCCTTATGTTCTAATTTATTAATAGGGTAAATGTCTTTTTGATAAACACTAATGTTAGTTTTTCATGTTTCCCAGTCAAATATAAAACAATATAAATGATAATTCATTGTATAGATTTTACTTGTTAGTTTAACTTTTTTGATTGTTTATTTTTACTGTTGGCCTTTTTAGCTTGGTTACCGAATTCACATTCATAGGTAATTGCTGTCACAGTTTAAGTACTTCTATACGTTAAACAATACCTTTTGCATATCAGTGGACATCCAAATTGAAGAAGATGATCTTGCTGGATGAGTGTGTGGCATTCTGTTTCGCATGCCTGTTCACTGGCATCTGAACCCAGTGTTCCAACTATTCCATCAACTAAAGTTTTCAGTTCATCTCCTTTTAACAAAGTATCTGAAAAAATAATATTCATATTACCCTTCATTATGATGCATTGTCACTTGTATACGTACAAATGACGTGATACTTGCAGAATATGAATAAAAACTCATGTACAAGTGACAGCTTATTATAAGACAACAACAACTGTACAATACAATGATTAAGGTAGATCGGGTATATTCTGCCACCATGGATTGTAAAATTGTAGAACACAAATGGCCTAGATCTTTAATAAGATATTCAAATTTTGAGAGAAAAGGTATTTTATCTGTAAGACTTACATCTAAATGAAGAAAAGCATGTGTAATATTAGGGAAGACAAGTCAGATAACTTTTACAAAGAAATAATTTGTTTTGTAGCAGGAAAACGAGTCCCGTGACCCTAAGTATTATTTTTATTTTCAGAAAGCACATTGACAGAGCTATCTTCTCAATTTTTATCGTAAAATTTTATTGTTTAGTTTTATGTCTTTCACACAAAAGTGGGTTTGTCGTGTATATTCTAACACAACCTGGTAATTTTTCACAACCTGTAGCTTGAAAAATTCCCCTAGACCCATGCTTTGTATTATATTTTTGTAAAAAACATGACATAAACTACATTTTGGCAATTTATTAAAAAAAAAATTGATCGGTTTTAATTTAGATACTTGATCTACTTTAAAACTGAAAACAAACTTTAAATACGAAAAGCAATTGAAAGTTTATATCAAAACCTAAACAGCAGTTGATTTTTCCGATTGTGAAAAATAAAAGTCCGTTCACCTGTGAATGTGACAACTGGTACTTTCAATGCTTTAATCTTTGATTGGTAGTCGAATCAGCAACCATTTCACAGTTCCTCGTTTTCATATAAAATACCGTTTTGATCTTAACGCCAATATTAATGTATCCTTTGTTTTAATCTTCTTTTTTTTTGTTATTTTCATTTTTCCAAGTAATAATTAATGTTGGGATCGAAAGAATTAGAGCCCAAAATGAGTATTTTCTGGTATTATTGCTTTTCATAAACCTTTAATTGTTTATTTTAAAAAATTATCATTGCATTTTAACCAGGAATTGTGATATATTTGGGTTGCAATGCATCTTTCGATTGGTACGGGTTTTATTTATACCCTCGCTTTTATTCCGTACATTATATCATCTAAGACCCCGTTCACACAAGCATTTTTTTAATAGATTTAAATTTGAATCGATCTTAATAAAACCAGTTAGCGTTCATCATGTTCATATTATCATTAATCCTAACGATCTCTATCGGTCTAAAGGCCGCGGTCTAATCTGAACCACTGCGTGCACACTACAAGTAAAAATGCATTCGAACTGACCTACTTTACCCGGGATTTGTAAAAATTGTGTATAAATAGAAACATTTAATCAAATTAATGTGTTGATACACACACTTGCAAAAAAATAATGGATGAAGTAATTGTTTCACTTGAATTACAAGTTCAAATGTTGATACTGCTATTTGTATAGTTTTCGTTAATTTTCAGTCCTTTTATGTTGGTCGTTCATTTTGTAATAAATTACACGTGTAATTTTTTCCGCCATACATTTTTTTTCGATTCAATCGTACTAGTTTAGATCGGTCTCTGTGTTCACATTTAAAGTTAGATCGGTTCACTTTAGATCGATTCAAACTAAACTACTTCGTTTGGTGTTTTAGTTTAGACCGCCGATTCAAGATCGATTCAAAGCGTTCACATTGGGCTTAAATCGATCTCTAGTTTAAATCGATCTAAAGTAAACCGATCTAGTTTAAATCGATCTAAAGTGAACCGATCTAGTTTAAATCGATCTAAAGTGAACCGATCTAGTTTAAATCGATCTAAATGTCCAAGTGTGAACGAGGTCGTAGTCCTCCTAGACCAGTGAATGGTTTTCAATGAATAATTTTATTTATGTTTTGTGCACTTCTTGGTCTATTTTTTATATACATTAATGTTTGTTGTTTCGTTGTACATAATATCTGTAGGAAAGGGGGCGGTGTGTGTATGCTATCGTCACAGGGTTTATAGTTCTAATCTCCAAACAAAAGGGTTCATTTTCATTCTGATTTTGTTTTTCGTTTTTTCTCTTTTCGTGTATCTCTGCAAATCAACAAACAAAAACTTACTTTCAACATAGATTGGTTTATGTTTCATTTTTCTGCATTTTTATTCTCCTTACATTATACTATGTACTCATATATCTATTTTGTATCTGTCTGAAGAGCAATTACTATCTTATATTCAATAAAATTGCACACAAATGTAAACATTTTGAACAACTAGTACTGAAAATACGTATTGTTAGATTATATCACTGACTAATTTTGAATGCTATTCTATTGATGTGAAATTTTGGTAGGAGCTAGGACTAATAAACGATACTACTCAACACTATAACAATTGTGGGGGATATTAATTAAATAGACGTGAGACACGTTACTTAATATAGTCACTATGCTTTATGCTATTAATAAAAACAGTGTTGACCGAACGTAGATTTACGTAAGTTGATGTTTCTATGTTAACTCTATAACTTAGGTATTACAATATAAAAAATTGTATCAATATGCGTTGTGTCGGTAAAATATGTTAAAAAAACTAGAATTACAGTGTCCAAAATGCGTCATTAAACATTATTCAAAGAATTCAATAGATTTTGCTGGACATTAAAGTTATAGACTTTGGTTTGTGAAACTGTCCTGGTTGTGATTTCAAAAAAACAAAAAATGGATAGAAATTTTACATATAAATGTATCGGACCATTCAGATTTCGTTATGGGATTCATTTGTAGAACATTAATATGAATGTAAGCATTACTTTCAATTTGATATGATGCCAGATTGATGAATCATATGACGATTAACGTTTTTAAAGAAATAACTTACCAAGAAGTAATCTCTTTTCTGGCATCGAAAATACCAAAGGTAAAATTACCAAGAGGGCAAATGCGATCTTCATAGTGACTGTTGAAGAAAGTTGAATTGAATAAAAACAAAAGTATTCCGTTTTCAGTATGGTAACTTCACCGAATCTAGTTAAAGACAAATGTCAGTCGGGGTCGGTTTTAACAATTAAAAGCAAAAAAACTGTTCAAATCAATAAAGTTTGATAACCATTTGTTAAATTGGACTCCAGTTTGTCTGAAATTGTATAATGCATAATTCTATCCTTTTTTGTCCTGGTGTAGTCTGCCTCTCTACGAATTGTTTTTTTTTATTTCTCCTTTTTTCATATAACATTTTAAACAGTGTCATATATTTGAATTATTATAAACTTTTTTCTTCTTTATTGAGCTTATAAGTATTTCAAGACATAGTTTTTTTAAATACCATAAAGCTGAACAATCATCATTTAAGAAAGTTATGAAAGTGCATGTGACCTTTTACAAATGGCAAGTAAATTTAGTAGAAATTGTCTCTAATTTAATACTTTAATACAAGTTATTTTATCTTTTCTGTCATTTATTTTTTACTTATAACAGTTGCACAAAATACAGTTCCATAGTAGTTATTTTGTATTAAATATAAAGAATATTTACCTTTTTCAGTAAGTAATGGTCAAGTACACTTCTAGTTGATCATTTACCCTTATATATACCACTAGGCCGGTTTTATCTATGCTAATTGATGACCTTAAGACATGTTCAGTACAGGTTCAAATGGCTTAAATCTATTTTTGGCCCAGTTGACCAAAATTATCCTTACCATTTTCAGATTGGATAACAGGATATCAAAACTTCATGCCTTTCTCGGTTGTTATCATTACATAGCCACTTTTCATTCCGGTAATCTTTCCACTTGTTTCAGCAATTTGCAGTCACAAACTTCATTACCCACAAAAAATAAAAAGATAAAAAGAAAACAAAAACAGTTTGGTTTAGATATTTGAAGAAAGATTGTTTCTAGTATAATTCAATCAAAGATCAGTTAATGCAGCGTTTAAATCTTTATCAACTTAACTATTTCGTTTGATAACATCAATATAAGTTAAGTAATAATGAATCTTAAAGTACATGAACATGCTCATGTACATATTTATGTACCAAATGAATTCTTTGTGAATCCATCTGTTGTATTTGACAGTTTTTCTACTCTACTAGCATATGCCAACCTAAATTTCAAACACCCTTCAAACGTTTTATGGGCAAGATCATAACGTTTATATAATTGAGTTATATCATTCGTGTAAGCACAATTCTGTCTTGCATTCCTCGTTCATGATGTCATAAAATGTGACTTATAATCAAACATAATTATCTTGGTACAGGATTTTGCACTTGGTATCAGCAAAACGACAGATGTCACTATTGAAACAGGAACCACAAACCCTTCCTAATTAACCTAAGTTCATCTCCGTTTTTTACTTGTGTTTGTATAGTTAATCTTTATTTTTCTGTATATTTTTCGTTGACTATTGCCTTTGTTTCTCGTATGTTTTGTCATTGCTAATGTTGTTGTCTGTCTTTCTTCTTCTTGTAACTAATATGAGGCAGATCCCACCTAGTGAACTTTTTGGTTACAGATTTTATCTATATATATTGTCTTTATATAATACTAATTCATGAAATAAAAATCTAGAATTCAGAAGCAAGCAAAATTACTTTTAAAAATCTGCCTTCTGGTAAACAATTGATGTTCTTACTTGGTCAAAGCAGTGACACGTTCTGCAACAAACATATAAATATAAAACAAAGTTCTGGACAATAATAAATAACAAGAAATTATCTTGTATTGGATACAATGTGAATTACTTAGGTATTTTTAATGGTAAAGCATTACAATCAATGAAAAAAACGTTAGCTTCTGATAATGTATTCGGTATCACACACAATAGAAGGCTATTTTGCTCGTCGGAGAATACGGTTGAGACGAAACGAAAGATAATAGTGTCAACTTTGACGGGAAGGTCTGAAAGGGAAACCCATATTCCTTGTCTTCAATTCGTGTATATTAGACATGGTAACAGGAAGTGACAATGCGAGTAGCATTAAGCTGGCTATTTTCAAGTATATCAATCAAATTCTGATTTCAGTAGTCAAATACGACGTCCGACTATCTTAGAACGAAGAACAGCAATAAAAGCTTGTTCCTTTGCTTTTTGTATTTTTTTGCTGTGCATGTACTGATTATGTGTCATGGATGGATACCCCATATCCTTTGTTTTTCTATTATCAAAACAAAATGATGTATAAATTTAATCAAAACAAAATGATGCATAAATTTAATCAAAACAAAATGATGTATAAATTTAATCAAAACAAAATCATGTATAAATTTAATCAAAAGTAAACCAAGTCAATGTTCCCTTTTCCTCATAACATTTATTCTGTTCAAGATTTAGTGAAAATATATTCAATAAGGTCATTCAATTTCTGTTGTTGGTTAAAATAACATCTAAGTGTTTGTGTTTGTCTTCTATTGATACGGTTTATTTTATGGAGTTTTTTTTTGGAGGGGGCAATTATTAAGCTTTCGGTCTTTTGAGCTTTTGATTTCTTTAAGGTATTGTTTGAAATTGTAGCTGCTTCTTTTTTTTCTGTCAAAAAAATATGTACTGTGTACTCATTAATGAACAAAAAACGGAAAGAAGTTTCATCGCCGATACGCTGTGGGTTTTTCAGTACAATAGTTTTTTAAGGTTTACAGTAAATTTGTTAAATCAGGGATTTGAAGAAATTAGTGATTTTATTAAATCACTAGCAGTTTCAGTGATTTTGTAAATTTCCTGAAACTGTTAGGAATCTTATATAAGATCTCTATAAATATTTCCAGGGATTTTGTAAAACTTTAAACTATAAATTTGAACTTAATATCAAAAATGTATTTGTCTTAATACAGAAAGACCATTGATTCTTCAAAGGTATCTATTTAAATTAGATTTTACCAATTAAAACTGTTTCACAATGACTATGAATAATATATCGAGACAACACCGCCTGCACTGTGTCCAGCACTCTAGACCACTCGGCCACCTAGACTGAACTAAAACAATTCAGCTTTCGGTGGCCTAGTGTTACCTTTCTTCGTCAGTAGAATCTAGAGTTGTAACACAGTACATGATATATTAGGCATGGAATTGATTGCAGATTAGCTAAATCATCTATCATAAAGGATCGTACGATGCAGACACAGAAATAATTATATGATAAGTACGTCTAAACATCAGCACAACAATGTTAAATCTGCAGCAAATTTTTTGTTCTTCCCTCTCCGGGATTCGAACTCATGCTATTGGGATATCGAGACAACACAGCCTGCACTGTGTCCAGTTCTCATACCACTCGGCCACCTAGACTGAACTAAAAAAAATTCAGATTCTACTGACGAGGAAAGGTAACACTAGGCCAACGAAAGCTGCTTTTTAGTTCAGTCTAGGTAGCAGAGTGGTCTCAGAGTTTCACTGCATAAATCATTGTAATGCATGTGTCATAAGTCAGAAACATAGAAAAAAATAAAATTATATGATTTCGATGCACAATGCAGTCCAAGCGCACGCTAATATTTTCCTTTTCGGTGTTTTTATTCCCAATGTAGTGTAGAAGATCACGACTTTGCGCAACGCTAAACTAAAAGTATCAAAAGGGTGTTGGACAATAAGTGTTCTTTGCATATGTAGTTTGAATATGCATATTCAGGACGAGAAAATGAATACCAACCCGACTTTGTACAAGACCTTTACGCTGGTCCAATTTTTTTAACATGCTAGTTCACAAGGTCCACAGGATGACATGATACTCTACCCGGACCATAAATTTTGCTGTAACTTACTCCTAAACCATATATCGCGTGCTTAGCAGAGATACAGCCAATATTTGATTTGAACCAGCCGAGTATCGAACCAATGACCTCCCGCACCCGAGGCGAGCAAGCTACTACAGAACCACAGAGGTGGTTATGAATATTGAAGATACGCATACATGTACATGTGTGCCCCCTGCGATTATCACATTTCCATGTTCAGAAAACCACTTAATTTAGGTAAAACCCTTATTTGGTATATGTAATTCTAAAAGTTTTAAGATTAGAACGGGACGGATGAACGGACGGACAAACAAACAAGAAAATATAATAACCCTTGCTATCATAAAAGGAAAAAAAAAAGGGAAATTCAAACTCGAAAGTCGAAAAAAAACTGACAACACCATGGTTAAAAAAAATAAAAGACAAACAGACAAATAACAGTACACAAAGCACAACATAGAAAACCAAAGACTGAGCAACACGAACCCCAACAAAATGTAGGTGATCTCAGATGCATCGGAAGGGTAAGCAGATCCTGCTCCACATAAGTTTGTAATAAAAATAAAAGAATCCTTCTCAACAAAACTACAATAAAAAATTCCATACATGTCTATGTCCGTTTTTCAGACGCTTTTGTTTCAATTGCTTTCCAAACATTTCAAAAAAAAACAATTTGTGAGCAATGACGTTAAACTATACCCATGCATCTTTAAAAAAAGAAAGGGAAAAATACTGATTTAGTGAAGTGTAATCATGTTTTTCTTGAAGATGCATTTCAATAAATTCTATATTCCATTTTATTAAATTCTACGGAAAGATGACAAAGTGCTGTCAGATAGAAGTATTGTTATCTATTTTGAGTCGGACAAAAGTGTCTTGAAATAAATTAGAGAATTGTGCTAAAAAAAGAAGTTTGTCGTGTACACCTTTTACATTCCGGCGTGTTTGAAACTCTTGTTTTCACATCACTATTTAAAGATCAAAAATGAGAATATCATCTCGCTTCAGATTCATTATTTTCATTTTTTCAAACTTAATTTTTATTGTAGCGGTTTTGAAAATTCCTCATTTGAGAACTAAATATATGGGTCAAGTGAAATGACCAAGTAACGATCGGTGCATATGATTTCGGTAACTGAATTATTTATTCTCTCAAAGGTCGTTGTCAATAAAATCTTCCAGAATTCGATAACAAAATATGTAAAGATTTAAAATAGTAGATTGGGATAATTTTTTAATAACATGTATTGCAACATAATATATACATATATACAAGGCTCCGTGTTGAAGACCGTCTTTTGACCTATAATGGTTTACTTTTATAAATTTTGACTTGGATGGAGAGTTGTCTAATTGGCACTCATACCACATTTTCTTATATCTATATAATGTATTCAACGAGCAAAAAATCATGCAGTCTATGCGCCCCTCAGTCATGCTTCAATGCAATAGGCCGAGATACGTTCAGATGCGTTGGTTATGTAGAGTAATGTCATTTTATTGGAAATCTCTATCTCTACTAGAGATTTCCAAGAGATTTCCAATAGAGATTTCCAATAAAATGACATACGTACGTAACTCGACGTACGGACCTAATGGGACTGGTTATTGCCAACCATTGAATTTAATTAAATACGTCGCCCAAGTTTAAATAAAGTATTCAAAGACTTTTAAAATCACACATTGGAATTTTCGTTCATACAAAATAATTTTATCATTACAAAAAATGATAGAAATCTTGCATTATTCGTGGTTTTCCAGATTCCCGCCTTTATTTTCACTGACATAAGATCACGTATAAACACACGTATCCCATACCTAT